CCCACCCGGCCTCGGGAATTATACTCATTCTTTTGGAGTGACGTCAAAGCACCAAACCGTTACACTAGACGACACTAGACGTAAGTCCACGCCTTGTCAGAACCACAACCCAACTAAGACCTAGAGTAAATTGCAAATCAGATTAATAACTGTTTGGAATGGGAGCCAGGTAGATTTTCTTTCTTGTAAGGGGCAAATGCTGTCATTTTTGGTCAACAATGACCTACTTAACTTGATGTGTCTTTGGCCTCCAAAATAGACCGCGTTTGTTATGTTAAGGTCGAGAGCCAAATCGGTCACATTGTACCAAATGATCACTTCTGCTCCATTCATGAAGAAAAAGAATATAATATGTCTAACCCTAAGTCAAATAAATGAATTCGTCAGTGCGAAATGGGTATGAGCTTCACATAAGATAGCCAAGCCGGTTCCAGTGAAAGTAAATAAGAGTAATGTTGCATGAATACCAAAAAACCATACATTTCAAATATGCTTGACAAAGTGCAACAAAATACTGCTCTCTCTCTCTCTCTCTCTCTCTCTCTCTCTCTCTCTCTCTCTCTCTCTCTCTCTCTCTCTCTCTCTGTCTCCCTCTCTTTCTTTCTCTCTCTCCCTCTTCCTTAGCCCAGATCACTCTCACCCCCGTTCTCTCTCATTCAAGTTCTCGGTGATCTCAGCGTCCTCTCACTCCTGCCCCCCTCTAACAAAAATCCCTTTAACTTCAGCTCCCCTTAATAACAATAATAATAATAATAATAATAATAATAATAATAATAATAATAATAATAATAATAATAATAATAATAATAATAATATATTATAGATATTATCATTTGTATAGCGCAAATCCCCGCTCAACAGCAAGCTCTTTGCACTTCACAATCTATACTATTAACCCAGCAGACCCTTCGCCCTAGTTCCCTCTCACCCCTACAAACTTTTATCACAGATCCCACTCACCTCAACTCACTTTTTCATTCAATCTCCTCTTCTCTCCTCTCTCCATTTCTCTCCCACAAGCTCCCGTGATATCTAAGCCCTAGTTTCACTCCAAGTAACACTATTTTAAGGGTCTTCATTAATGTTTTACACAGTCGGTCTCTTTTGTGCTTCCTCTCTGCGTGCAACTGCCTTAAAAAACACTGTTCTCTCCCAGAAGTAGTCTTTTTAATGTTAGAATGTGTGTGGATCAGTGAGCTTTGAGAAGTGCACATGCGTGCGTGCGTGCGTGCGTGTGTGTGTGTGTGTGTGTGTTTGTGTGTGTGTGTGTGTGTGTGTGAGTGTGTATGTGTGTGTGTGTGTGTGTGTGTGTGTGTGTGTGTGTGTGTGTGTGCCCTCGTTTGTTGTTGCAATATGGTCTAGCAATTACGTTTTCTGTCTTTTGTTTTGTCCGTTGCATTGAATGATAATTCTGGAATTTGTCTTCTTCTTCTTCTTCTTCTTCTTCTTCTTCTTCTTCTTCTTCTTCTTCTTCTTCTTCTTCTTCTTCTTCTTCTTCTTCTTCTTCTTTTCTTTCTTCTTCTTCTCCTTCTTCTTCTTCTTCTTCTTCTTCTTTTTCTTCTTCTAATTATTGTCACCATTATTATTAGTAGTAGTAGTAGTAGTAGTAGTAGTAGTAGTAGTAGTAGTAGTAGTAGTAGTAGTAGTAGTAGTAGTAGTAGTAGTAGTAGTAGTAGTAGTGTCATTACCATAACTTTTATTATTATCATTTTCGGTAGTCTAGTGATCAGGCTATAGGGGTCGTAATCATGAGGTTGCGGGTTCGTGGGTTCAAACCGCCGGCCCGACGTTGTGTCTTTGGGATAGGCACTTTTCATGAATTTTTCTCACTCTGCCTATGTGGGAATGGATACGCGGTCACAAACAGCAAAATATATTGTCAGTGCGTGGGTGTTTTAGCACAATAAAATGGCAGCTTGCACAGTATGCTTCTCAGAAAGTTGAGATTTTTTTTCACAAAATACTTCCAGGTCTGCTGGGGTAATAGTAATATGGATTGTAATGCGCACTTGCTGTTCGCGGGAATTTGCGCTTAGCATAATATGCTATCTATCTACTATCTATCTACCTATCTATTATTATTATTATTATTATTATTATTATTATTATTATTATTATTATTATTATTATTATTATTATTATTATTATTATTATTAT